GTCCCCTTACCTGTTACTTGCCAGGGTATTCAGATGTGTCATTTGTTCTATTTGTTTTTGAAATAAGTGTCCTTTGATCTTTGACTCATCATGTAGAGTAGCCATCACTAAACCTATGCTGAATAGTAATCTTATTATTCTGCTAGAATTGAAACGATTCTCTTAAAGTTAATATATTTTCTTCTTTTCCACTATATTTTTTTGTATACGGTAATTTTAATTTCTCTGAAATTCTCTAAGTTGAATTGAGTGCAAAGTTAGAACTTTGCAACGTTTAGGATGATGGGATTTTCTGATGTGTGTTGTCTCTCAGTTACCAGGTATTCACACTACATTCAGACATGCAGACTATGGATCAGAAAAGAGCAATGAAACCCACTCCCCCTGGTGTCAGGAAGATCGTAAGCCATATTTTGTGTTTCACTTGGTCTTTTTTCCACATGCGTAATGGAAGGTGGCAAATCACGTTTTATAGTTTTATATCTTCAAGGAAAACCCTGATTTAATATAAGTATATACAGTATAATAAACATAAATAAATGTAACTGCTCAGATTGTTTACACTTTCACATTAAATATCTCTTTACGTACTCTGTGTTTACAGTAAATTAAACAACATGTACAATACAATGTATGAATGAATATGGACATAAAAAATGTTTTCAAAATGAATTTTACTTTTTTGTCATTTCAGATTCTTTCCACTAACATTGCTGAAACAAGCATCACCATCAATGATGTGGTTTTTGTTATTGATTCAGGAAAAGTCAAAGAGGTGCTGTCTCAGAAAATGGCATGAAGTCTTACAATAAAATAACTTTACACACATAGCTGACCCATCACATCAAACTGAGGATTAAATCAAATTTGGCCCAAATGACCTAAGTAGATTTTCAGGTTAATGCTTTTTAAGCTACATTTTGATACCTGGATCCTCTTGATATCATGAGCGGCTTCAGAGATATGGCCTAATTGGTCTTATTAATCGCAATAATACTTTAATATTCGTTCTGAACCCAATTTTGGTATTATTCTAATGAGGAGTTATGTATGTCATTCTAAAGAGAAAGCTTCAAATAGTATTTGGAAATTAAGATTTCCCAGAGAGAAATAAAAAAAAAAACTTTGCTAATTTGCAGAAAAAATATCAAATATTTAAGGCATTGTTGCTCAAAATCAGTTTCTAAGTTGTACAGCTCAAAAAGTGCTTAGAAAAATATTTAATATAATATTTCAGACAGTTTATTCAGATGGTACTTTGATAAGATGATTAATTATATTTTGACAAAACGCTATTATTGAAAATGTTTTAATCACAAACACCATTCTGCCTATTTCTCCACATCCCACTTTGACACTTAATCTTTGGTTTGATGTGATGGATCAGGTCTCACTTTACTGAAATAGTTTTGATTTCTGCAGAAGTCCTTTGATACGTTCAGTCGTGTTTCCATGTTAAAAACAGTTTGGGTCTCCAAAGCCAGCGTTCTGCAAAGAAAAGGAAGGTGAGCTCCACAATTATTTACTGCAAGCTTTTGTCTTAGTTGTTGTAATAAAAAGTACCTCCAGTGATGTACCAGTATTATAAACCAAAGCAAATGAACTTCTTTCAGTCTATTTATTTATTATATTAGTATATTATATTATATTTATTTATTTATAAATAAATATAATATATTTTTATTTACATCTATGATAGTCAAGAAAACACCAGATAAAATGCAAAAAAGAATCTTCATTTGCATAGTTGTAGGATTGTATTTAAATGTGGAAACTGTTCCAAAGTATGTTTTGTGTTATGGGACTGTTAGACTCATTATTGTTGTCAATGACAGTTTTTACACAGTGGTTTTGTTGTGGGAATATTTTTCCATTATAGTTTTAGTCCACTACAGAATGTGTTTTGTAAAGATGACGGCCTGAGTGTTTTGTTTCTCGACAGAGCCGGGCGATGTCAGCCTGGGATCTGTTTCCACCTCTTCAGTCAGCTCAGGTTTAATAACATGCTGGAGTTCCAGGTTCCACAGCTGCTGCGAATGCCACTGCAGGTACAGATACATCGTTTCACCTTTTATTTTTTTTTCACAAAATAACAGTAGTTATACATTATTTATACTTTCTATAATTTAATTGTAATGCAAAGTCATGAAAAATTCTATTTAGTTGTCTGCCTGAGTGAAGCAGGTGATCCTCTGCACGAAGTAAAAAGTACACACACAGTTGTTTCTTGTTTTTAACTACATTATTTGATGAAATCAAAATGAATATCTGACTGATTAAATACATTTTTCATGATCATTAATTACTTTAGCTTTGTTTAAATATAATGACCAAGTGGTGCTTTCAGAAACTTTCATAAATCTAACATGCTACTTAATTAAGATGCAAACACCGTTGGACATTAGCTACAAAATACCACAGCTACATTTAATAATTTCCATGTCCAGACCAAGAACTGTCTCTCCTAACTCCTCTAACTACATGAGGGAATGAATGTTGAACTGAAAGTGCTGATCAGTGCAGCTAGTTTCACCACAGGCTTCAGTGAGACTAAATTTAGTTCTGTAAATACGTTAAAAATTAACTCTTATTGGTGTTGTTTTCTTTTTGAGTTTGGTTGATGTTATTTGGTAAAAAAAAAAAAAGTATTAAAAATAGTATTGCCTATTGAGTAGTAATAACTTCTGTTCTGTAGTCAAAACTTACAAGCATATGTTCTCTGCATATCTAGAGAATCTTATTTCTACTGCTTTTGACTAACCATCTTCTCAGCTTTGTGCAATGGAAACCAAAAAAAAAGTCAAATGTATAATATTAATTTATGCTTTGTAAATAATACAAAAACTTAAGGCAAAACCAGCTTGTAATATTTAATAATTTGTACTAAATTCATGATTCAGCAGTGCTACATTCTCTGTATAACAATATGCTACAGAAGCTAATATCTGCTAGCAAATTCAATAATTAACAGCAATTACAATAAGTTTATTTTAATTTTAAAATGTTACATCATTACTTTCAGTTCTGGTCAGATCACATCCACATTGATATAATTAAGATAAAATCTGCTTACTTGTGATATTAAACTTATTTTCCCTTTTTCTCTTTGGTTGGTACATCTGTAACATACAGCTTTCAAGCATTTTTATATACAGTAGATAGCTTATACATTGAAATATTTTAGTATTGTTATTAATATTATCATTAATAGTTTTTAAGATTTTGAAATAATCATCCGTTACTTTTGGCTATTTTGCCAGTATCGACAATATTTCTAGATCCAAACCCTTCCTGGTTATGGGTTAAGGTGCACTCTTTCTGTATTATAGAATCTTTGTTGACTCATAAATATTGTTATTTTGTGTTTCTCACTGTCAGCCGTGGCAAAAACTATAAACAGCATTAAGTAATGTGAAATCATGAGAAGTAAATCTTTTATTTGCAGTTAATAAACAGTCTTGTTATATTTCGTGTTTGTCAGGAACTTTGTCTGCAGACCAAGCTGCTCGCTCCTTCCTCCTCTCCTGTTGCTGAATTTTTGTCTAAAGCTCCACAACCACCTCCAAAACATGTGATCCAGAGTGCTGTGCAAATGTTAAAGGTAGCATTTCATTTCTCATAAAACATTTTAGCAGGATATTGTAAATTATATGTGGACACTCACAATCATTTTTGTAGACAATAGATGCTCTGGACCAGAACGAAGACCTGACCGATCTGGGGTACCACCTTGCTGATCTACCCATAGAGCCCCATCTTGGCAAGATGGTTCTGTGTGCAGTCATGCTGAAGTGTCTTGACCCCATTCTCACTATTGCCTGCACTCTGGCCTACCGGGACCCTTTTATTCTCCCCTCTGAGGGCTCTCAGAAAAAAGCAGCTCTACAGTGCCGCAAACGGTTCTCGTCCAACACCTTCAGTGACCACATGGCCCTGCTCAGAGCTTTCCAGGTATGTGAAAGTTGACATGCGTGTTGTTACCGTCATGTACACTTTAAAGAATTCATCATTCAACACCAGCATTATTCAGAGGTCTATAAAGTCCTTGACAGAAATAACTTAAGTAAATGTAAAAATGTCTTAAAAGAAAATTACTTTTATAAATGAATTTCATTACTAATGAAATATTCAAGTAAAAGCCATAAAACTGCTAATTATAAGTAGAAAAGTAAAAGTACTTTTGCACACTCTAAGAAAGGAAGTGTTGAATTAATTTCAACCAAACTGGTTCCAGTAACCAGAGTTGAATAAATTGTTTTACATTTACTCAACACAGTTTAGTGGAAAGAGTTGACATAACATTAAATAAATTCAACACTTTTTCTTTTATTGCACATTTACAAATTTTTTCATGATGAGTTTGGTATTGATATTTAAATTTGTAGTGTGTTAAATTCTAATGTAAACAGGTTAAGTATCGTTTTTATATTTTGAATGTGACAAAATAAAAGTAAAAGTTTGATTGAAAAATGCTTTGTAATATTACAAATCCACAAAAAATATGTCCTGATGCATCTCAGTAATCCAGGTAGAAAAAAATCAAAAAGAAAAAATAAGTAGGTCCTCTGGATGGGTTCTTCTTTAGTGAAACGTTTCGTCTCTCGTCCAAGAGACTTCTTCAGTCTGATGAGTTTCAGGTGAACTCAGCCTTAATAAGCACTGCCTCCACATGGTGGACAAACAGGTTAGGCACATGCAAAAGAGGGCCATCACCTAACAATAGGCTTGATTAGCTCTATTGTTCATATTGTTCATGCTGAGTCATACCCATAGTATGACTCAGCCCCCTGTGAGCAAAATGTGTGAAACAGGGCCCCAACGATACCCAACACAAATAGGGAAAGAGAGACAAAAACAAGGGGATGTCGAGCCCCGCCTTCATTCACTACATACACATAACACGATACCAAATAACCACAGCAGAAGCATCCAAACCAATAAGTCAGGTGATGGGGCACATGACCCTCTATGAACAATAGAGCTAATCAAGCCTATTGTTAGTTGATGGCTCTCTTTTGCATGTGACTAACCTGTTTGTCCATGTGGAGGCAGTGCTTATAAGGCTGAGTTCACCTGAAACTCATCAGATTGAAGAAGTCTCTTGGAGGAGAGACGAAACATTTCACTAAAGAAGAACCCATCCAGAGGACCTACTTAATTTTTCTTTTTGATCCACAAAAAATACTTGAGTACTGTAACTAAGTAATTATACTTAGTCACTATGCAACTCTATTATTGCAAACTCAATTGAAACACATAAACACCTCTTTTGTATTAAAACAGGTTAACAAATTGAAACTCTTCCAACAGGGTTGAATAAGGTTTGTTGTTACATGTAGGTGTAATGTTTTATTATTTATTGTTACAGGCGTGGCAGAAGGCCCGTAGTGATGGTTGGGAGAGATCTTTCTGTGAGAAAAACTTCCTGTCCCAAGCTACTATGGACATGATTCTTGGCATGAGGACACAACTCTTGGGACAACTCCGTGCTATTGGTCAGTTCTCGTTTCATTTTATTTACATTTTATTTTCCCTCCACCAAGTGTAACCTAAGCCAAAATGCAAGAAGAAATTGCAGAGCTAATTTTTGGTTTAGCGCTGTCCACCACTGTTAATAAGTGATTAGAACTCAGATCTCAGAGTTCTCAGTTTTAAAACATTCTGGAACTCTCTGTGTGACTCTAGCATGACTGGAAGCGTGGACAGTTTGTCTCTGTCTGTGTCCCTGTGGTGGACTGGAGACCTGTCCAGGTGTCCTTGTGATGGACTGGAGACCTGTCCAGGTGTTCCCTGCTTTCACCCAAAGGCTGCTGAGACAGACTCCAGCTCCCACCCTTAGTCTGATTAGGAAGAAGGTCAGAATGGATGTAGGATTTTTTTACAGCATGAAGCTGATATTTAAACATAAAACAGCATTTGGTTTTCGCTAATCTGAATCAGTAACAATTGAAATTCAGTGTATTTTGTAAATCTATTTGACATTTTTGTAGAAATGAACACATTTGTAATTTTCAAAATACAATACTTTTTAATTAAATACTAACTAATATTTTTTAAAGAAACTATAAAATATAAAATCTTCAAATCACATCCTCTGCACTAATCATTATCTTTGTAAAACCTCAGAACAACTCTATCAGTAATATAATAAAAAAAATAAAACTATAAGAAGAGACTTTTTACTAATCACTGAAAATAATGTTTTGCTGCTGTGGGAGATAAAGCTATAATATCTGTGTCCTAAAGGGTTAATGTTCAGGGGAGGGAGGGGCTACTTGTGTGAGTGGAGAGACGAGCCCCGCTGCCTGCAGCCGGCTGGGACAGAGAGACGACAAAGGAGTGTTTTTCTGTCAGTCCAGCGAGTTGCAGCTGCCCATTTTTAAACATATTGTTGAGCTCTAAAGAGTTTTTAGATGACTATGACTGCTTTTTTGCACGCTGAGAGTCACTACGATAGCTTTTTAGCTTTGCTAATTCAGCACATTCTCTGCGGGTCGACGTCCGCTCTGAGTAAACAAACGAAGCTTCACCTGGCGGGAAGGAATGTAAGGCTTATAATGAGCTGCGGGAAACCCTGATTAGGATTGGTCTGATAAGTAAAATTGGGCTGATATTAACATCTAATATTGATTTCCCACTTTTTAGCTTTGTGTTTCTGTTTGGGAGGGGAGATGGTTGGTCAAGTGGGATCTGTTTGATCATGATAGTGTTAGTGATGCTTTGCAAGAAGTAGAGAGCCATGTCAGCCTTCTGGTTGTTTTTTTACGGTATCAAAAAAGACACAAGTGTATTTGTGCATATGTGTATATAAATATTTGTTTGTTTGTGTAATTTCAGTAAATATCAGCTAGAACAGCAATAATAACGGATAATGATATTGGCTGAAATCAGTGCATCCCTAGTAAAGAGTTAAATCTGATACAGGCGAGGGAGTGATAGTTAGTGCAACTTTATTCAGTTTTGCTGAATGGATGATTAAAACCTTTTTTCGTTTCTCAGGTTTTGTGCGGGCTCGCGGGGGCAGTGACATCCGTGACGTGAATCTGAACTCTGAAAACTGGGCCATGGTAAAGGCGGCGCTGGTGGCCGGCATGTATCCAAACATGATCCATGTCAACAAGGAGACCTCCCTGCTCTCCAGTAACAGAGAAAAGAAAGTTCTCTTCCATCCGACGTGTGTTCTGAGCCAACTTCAGGTAAAGGAGGTGGGCGGGAAATCCATTTCACAAACATTTGACCACACTCACTGCTGCTCTCACCTACGTGTGCTGCATTTTCATCTGTAAATATGGAAATGTGAGATTGTGTGATAAAGCCAGTGGTAAATGTGGAAGTCGGACCAAAATGAACTAGAAACAGTTGAAACTGCATCACTTCTGATTTCAAAATAAAATTCACTTGTTTTTTGTGTATCCATATGCTGCCCTCTGCATCCCTCACAGAATGATGCACTTTAACAGCTTATGTGTGTAAATTTTTCCATATATTTATTAATACAGCTACGATTACAAAAGAATTAATCTGTCTTTGGTGAATTACTTTGAAAATATGGGCGTTATGCTCGTTTCTAGAACTAGAACTAGAAGAACTTTAACTTTGCAGAGTTTCCCCAAAGATTTTTTTTAACCGTGGTAGTGACCTCTCATGTGGGGGTTTGACAAAATCTGGTTGCCCTCAAAACATTTTGGTTGTCCAAAAAATATCTCAATAAAATCATAATTTAATAAGTAGGCTATATTGTTCTGTATACAAAGTGTAATATATACAAATGTTCTCAGTCAGCAGGTTGACAGTTTTAGGAGCTGCTTGAGGAGAACTTCCTCGTTCTCCTCCTCATCCTCTTCTTTGAATTAGAGATCAAAAATCTACATCCAACATCCATTAGCTTTCTGCTTACAGGTCAAACATTTTTATTTAAATAGGAGTACACTGTGTACTTATTAAAAGTTACAGTTTAGTGTTCTTAGGACTGAAGACTTTCTGAGGAAAGACGTTTTTAACCATCTTTTCTATAATTTTAGTG